CCTTGTTTCCAAACAAAAATAAAAAGGGCTGGAGATTCAGTTTCATGTGAATGCCCTGGGTTCGAACTGTAGTACTAAAAAACAAAAGTGTACTTCCTAATTGTTGAGTGCATTCTGTTTTCATCCAGTAGATTGATGCTTTAAACTGTGATTCATATCTCATGTAACTTTACTATTTTTCCATAGGTATATATTTATGCATTCTAGATCTTAAGTTTCCAAAACTGTATGTTAAAATCTTTCACTGTAACACAGGATTTGCCCGTTTCTCCTCTTTTTTCCTGCTTATATCCACAGGTGACACATAACCACTATGTCCGGCAGTTGATATGCACAGCTCTAAGGTGGAGTTAGTTTCTGTCTGTTTGTGGCTTTATTTCTCCATGGGTTTTTCTCTTTGTGTGTCTCATCTTTTTGTCTTTAAAGCCTGGACATTGCGTTGTGAGACAGTGGAGAACAGGATGCAGCTTAGCTCTGCTGGACTCTCACTGCCCGTGGAGCCTGGAGGCCGGGAGGGTGATTGAATCACATCTAGTAGACAGTCAAGTGGGTGGTGGGTTTGCTGTTGCTATGGTTACCTCCTGTGGAGCACTAATGTCCTCATTCTTTGCATCATTTTGTGCTTTGAGTGGAACCTTCCCGTTCTTGGTTCCCTATGTCAAATAAAGGCTGTCACTTGTTTCTTAGTGTTTGCCAGACTGGTGGGGAGAAGCCAAGGTACTTGGCCCCTAAGTCTCAGTGATCCTACCTCTGCTGTGGTGGTGGGAGACCAGTAAGCCAAGCACCCATTCCTGTCCTCTGCCATGCCAGTGCTCTCTGGAGGTGGCAGGGTTTGCTGCCCTCCGTCAGAAGCTTGTCTTCAGACAAGAAACTTCTGGATGGCTTTGTTCAGTTTTTCCCCCAGTCCTCTCTCCCAAGGGGCTGTCTGGGCTCCTGCCTAACCCTGAGCTTCCTGTGGGCACCTGGTGGAGGGGTTTGTTCCCTATTGCTGTAGAACTGTGACCACAGGCAGAGTGACTTAAATCAACACTCACTCACAAGTTCCCAGTTCTGTAAGTCACATATGCGTGAGGGCTTGGCTGGGTACCTCTCTCAGGATCCCAAGGCCAAAGGCAAGGTGTGGGTGGGTGCACTGAGCTCCCATCCCCAGCTCCTGGTAGGAACCTGCCTCCTAGTGCACTGAGGGCATCAACAGAAGTGGGACTGAGAATTCAGACCCAGAGTCCTTGCTGTCTGTCTGTGAGGGCTCACTCATTTCTTAGGGCCACCTACAATACATCCCAGGTGGTCTATTTCCAAAGCCAGAAAAGGAGCATCGACTTCCACGTGTCCAGTCTTCTTCACTTCCTCCCTGGTTCCAGTCAGTTTTTGATTGGATGTGAAGTGCCCCACTGCCTTCTTCACATGAATCTCACCGTGTGGTTTCCTTCATAGCTGACTCTAACTGAGGCAGCTTCCTCCTTGCTGCCCCGTTCAGATTCCTGCTCCCAGCTCTGTCTCTGCATCCCAGGATGACTGACTCTTGCCACAGCGAGGTTCCACGTTTGAGGCTGTTCGTGCAGCTTGGGCTGCAGCCTGTGGGTCACAGTGGAGGCAGCACCTGCACACACCGTATCAGATCGTGGAGGATTTAGTGGAGTCCATGGATTGGTGGGAGGAGGAAGGGATGCACTAGGAGCCAGGGGATCTACCTGGAACGTGGAGCAAGACCTTCAGCCATGGCCAAATAAACTCACTCAAGTTGTTCATCCTCTCCTGCCTGCAGAGCTGGACCTTTAGTGTCACCCACACCACTATCACCACATGTGGGACCCCCTTATAGTTATGGCTTAGAGGTTGCTTTCTTACCTAAGAGCATTTTGTCTTTCTTTCTTAGGTGCCTTCCCATCTCCGGCCCTGCACACCTCTCTGGGTTCCTTTGCTCCAGAGAAAGGCTATTTTATTTTTGCCGTACTGGGGAATGAACCTAGGCTTTCACACTGAGGTATCCCCAGCCATTTGATTTTTAAATTTTGAGGCAGGATCTCATTAAATTGCCCAGGATAGACTTGAACTTGTGATTCCCTTGTCTCAGCCTCTCAGAGTGCCAGAGTTACAGGTGTGCACTACAATCCCCAGTTTGTATCCTGTTTTGTTTTGTTTTGATGTAATAGTATTTCTGGAAGATCTTTCCATGTCAGAATATCTTTTATAATATATTGTTTCATAGCTTGGCATGTTTTAAATGTATCATAATTTTTAGTTTTTATTTTTAACTTTAGGCAACCTTGAATTTTTAAAAGCTACTGTCATACTGAGTATGACCTATATGTAACTTCCAGTTTAAAATTTTAAGACAGGGTCTCACTAGTTACTAAATTGCCCAGGCTGAGCTCAAACTGTCATCCCCTGCCTCAGCCTCCAACGTGCTGTGATCACAGACCTGTGCACCACATCCAGCTGTAATCACATTGGTGATGTGACAGGGTCCCCTGAACAGTGTAATTTTACCTCTTCATTTTTTAACAGGCACATCCTCTCCCACTTCCCGTCTGCCATGCAGCGAGGCCCCACACTGAATTCTCCCAGAGGGCGCTGAGGCTGCAGTCTTTTCCTTCCTGGAGTCCTCCTCCTGCTTGCACATGTGCTAGCTGCAGCTCTGCCTCTGCTCCCGTCAGAGACTCACGTGGTTCCTGTTCCTGGACCTCACCTGCGCTTTGCCTTCTGGAGGATGGCTCCTCTTTTCTCAGAATAGTTTCTGCTATTCTTCTGCATTCTTTTTGGGAAGTTGGAGGGGAGTGATTGGGCAGGAGGGGGCTTTTTTCTTTAAATTTTGAAAAATTGAGAAAAAACTAAGTTTGAAGGACTAAATAGCTAGAGATCCTCTACCTATCACTCATCACAAATGCACGCTGACATTTTGTCAGGTTGCTCACTGGTCTTTTGTTTCAAAAAAAGGAATCCTGTCTGGCTGTCACAGCAGTTGCAGCACTGGGGACCTCAGTGACAAGCGTTCTATGCGTTAGGATTCACTTCATAGCACTCAAAGAGGTCAAGTTCCTGCACTGTTGCCATTTACAAACTGAAAGAAATTGAGGCTCGGGAGGGCCAGTGCCCTGTATAAACTGGCACAGCCAGCAAGAGGCGGGGCCAGAATGTGAAGACCCGCAGCCCACCTGCGGAGCTGCGCATGGGCCATGCCGTCCGCCTCCCAGCCGAGATCCCTTATGTTCCTTCTCCCTTCCACACATTCCTTCTTTCCCAGAAACACGCGCCTGCAGACTTGATATCTTCCTGCCCGTGTTTTAATATTTTTCTTGCCTGTGTAGATATCTGTAAACAATCATGGTAATTTGACGTTTTCATACATGGTGCCCTGTAACTGCAGCATGCTGCTCTGAGAGCTGTCCTGCCTGGTTGCTAAAGGTCAGGTTCACACATTTCATACCTGTGTCCACTGTGCACCTCCCAGCCCCAGGCAGGTGCACTCTGTAGGTGTCTTCATGTCTTCCCAGCAGGCAGCCCTGCCTTCCAATCTGTTGGAGTCAGGGGTTGTGCAGAGAACAATTGAAATCAAGACATGGGGTTTATAATGCCACCTTATGCTGCAGAAACTCTATCCACAGAACCAACGACATAGAATATTTAACCAAGGGCCTGAATCCCACAGCAATGTCCCACATGAGTCCAGATGAAGACCCAGAGCCCATGACAATGCCTCCCGGAAGTCCAACTGGTGGTCTAGAGCCCACCAGAAGGACTCATGCCTGTCTCTTATGGATCCATGCTGGGAAGGCCCAACGGTCAGCGGTGGAAGCTAGAAAGCCTTTGCCTGCAGGGTGAAGGAGCTGTGCTGGTAGGTTGAGGGTTCTATGCTGGAGCTGAGAAGCCACACTCACAGCAAAAACCAGGGCTGTCCTGAAAAGTACCACAGCCATCCTCAGTGACATGGAGGCCCTGAGCTCCTCCGATGATAAGCATAGTCAAGAATATGCCAGGAAGCCAGTGTGACAAGTTCATCCTGGAGACCAAGCAGCACATGTCTTCCCTTCAGGAGCCAGGAAACAATGCTTGATGTGAAGACCAAAGCTTCTCCAGGAGAACCAACGGCCCAAACAGCAACTCGTGGGAGAACCCACAATGCCTCAATGCCTCTGTTCTCCTCCATGTCTGTTTATTTATGCTGACAACTTTCCTCAGGTGTGACATCTATGCTCAGCAGCACACTGAGGTAATCCAGCTGGCGTTAAGTTGACCACCAGTTTTTAATCCATAACACGATCTTTGGTAGCTAGCATGGGCGAGTGCTTACAAATAGATGAGCTTGGGTTTTACTGGGTCTGAAAGGCCCCGGTGACAGGGGTGTCCCCTGTGCGCCCACCCAGGCTCCACACTTTCCTTCTGTCCACAGCCTTGGGGACATCTGGCTCTTCCACTGTGAAACGCCTTGAGACTCTGTGACACCTCTAGGTGTTTGCTCACTGGGTCAAAGTGAATCATGCTTCTGCTGTTTTTTAATTTCCATGTTCCTGAGTAGTTTCAGTGAGCATTGTTTCATTTTTCTTTTCTCTGTGTGACTGTCTCATCCCAGATGCATTTTTCCTTGGTCATTTTGTCCTTTTCCTATTGCTGTGTAGTTCATAGCAGTTGTCAGGTATGAACTTAACAATTTTCATTTAGCTTTTTTTTTGTCTTTCATTTAAACCTTATTAAAGTGCCATTTGTATAAATTATGACAGATAAAATCTCCCACCTTTTCCTTTAGGATCATTAACTTCTGTGATTTAAATTCTTATTTCTGCTTAACAAATGTTATCCTTTAACATTTTCTTCTAAGAGCTACAAATTAAAATTTTTAAAATGTGGGTCCCACAGAGAAAGGGAGACTGGGAGGAGTGGTGAGCTGTACTGCTCCACTGTGGATATTTTCTCTGCTCGCTGCTCACAGCAGCAGGGAATGAGCCCAGAGCTTCACACTGAGCTGTATCACCAGCCCTGTTTTCTTTTTTTGAGACAGAGGCTCACTGAGTTGCCCACACTGGGCTTGAATTTGCAGTCTTTCTGCCTCAGCCTCTCAGAGTGCTGGGATTCTACCACCACGAATGTTGTGATTCTTGGATCATGATGGCTCCCACCAGCCTTGCCCGTCACTCCTTTGTTCCTGCCACGCCTGTTGGTAAGATTCCTTCAGCCATCGGACACTGTTCACCTTCCACGCCTGCCCAAGCGTGATTTCCTACGAAGCTTTGACTTGATGGTTGGTACACTGATTTTGTATTTCTATCCTTTCTATATTAGGAGAAACAAGACAAAACATATTCCTATACACACATGAAATGAAAAAGACATATAAGACTATTGTACAAGGAGTTTTACCATAGTTCCTTTGTTGTCTCTTGTTATCTTCAATAGAATTGGCTATATCATCAGACATAGTATATTTGAATATATCAGTACATAACAGTATTAATAAAAACACAACTTTGTATATAGGTTAGAACTTCAAAAACTGGCAATTATCAAACCAGAATGTGTATTGTAGTCTTGTCATCTTCAAGGTACAATAATTTCGATCACTGGCCTCTTGTGCCTTAAACCCACTTCTGTAGCAGCCCTTGGCGCAGTCACACAAGGCGCTCTGTAGGTTCTTTCTCCCCAGCACTCTCAGCGATGCTGATTGCACGTAGGCCTAAGCACTGGGTACAGCGCTGTAGCCCCCAGAAACTTGCTCACTGGAGGAGTGAATGGAGGTCACAGAGAACTTTTTGAATGATTTTATTTTTTCTCCTTCAAAGCATAGTCCAAAGTTTAAGGCATGCTAAGCTTTCTTCGTAATTTAACAGGGGACGCAACAAGATGGAACCACTCTGCTGACACTGCAGGTTAACCTGGCCTGTGCTGTTCTAGGGGTCATTCCAGGTGGCCGGGGGCTTCACCTGGCAGCAGCTGGACCCCAGGGAGCAGACCCTGTAAGAAGATGTGATGCTAACGATCTACAGCCACCTGCTCTCTCTGGGTGAGGAGGGCTCCCCGCCTACCTGACACCTGTACTGAACAGATGTTCCTCCTTGTCTCTGTCCCTTAAACAGTATAGCATACAACTATCCACACAGTAGTTAGTTGTGTCCAGCATTATAAACCCTCTAGAAAGAAAGTGCCTGGGAGCACGTGTGGGGGTTCCATGCAGCGACTGTCCTGTTGTATACAAGGGACTTGTGCAGCCCTGTATACTGCACCTGTTCCCTGCAGACACTGAGGGACAACTGTATTTGTGAATCACCTTTCACATAAATGGCTGTCCTTTGGTTACGATATCAAAGTTTCAGTTGCTGCCTGTGCTATTTGCTTGCCAAAGAAATTTGGGAGGCTCAGCATGTATCCTATGACTCTGTTTCTGGTGCAGGTTGTCAAGTCAGCAAGCCAGCTATGATCTCCAGGCTGCAGTAGGGGACAAAGCTGTGGACCAGGAAAGAAAAGATGTGCAGATGTGCAGATTTGAAGGGACAGCCTTTAGAGGACTGCGGGGTCAGGACGTCACAGAACAAAGCCCTAGTGTTTTCTTATTCCAAAGAAGTGGTACCCAAACTTTGTTTCTTTCCTTATTTTTTAAATTGTTGTTGTTGTTGTTGTTGTTAATCTTTTTGAGACAGAACTTCACTATGTAGCTCAGGCTGGCCTTGAACTCACTATGTAGCCCTGGGTGGTCTCAAACTCATGGTTATCCTCCTGCCTCCCAAGTAATGGGATTACAGGTGTAGACCACCATGCCTGGCCAACAAAGTGTCCTTAAAAGCTGTGCATTTTACCAGAGGCCTTGAGGTGTCTCAATGGCCCTGCACCCTGCTGCTCTGTCACTGTGCTGTCCCTGATTTCAGGGTAGCCCTCTCCTGTTTTCATTTACCCTTCATTCTTCCTCGCATGCTCAGGCTGTGGTGGAATCCTAATCTTATGTTTTTCCCCCACGTTGGTAAAACAGACTCTCATGTGTTCAGGGATTCGCAGATTTATCCTATTTTAAAACAGCTGTTACTGTCAGTTACTCTTTCTGGTTGTTAGTCTTTTCCTTAACAGTGAAAGGCCTCACACTTATTTGCTGCACCTGTTTTCCTGTCCCCACTCTCTGCTTAACACCTGTAAGCAGGTGACAGCCATTTCTATAGTTCAGCCTAAATCAGTGACTGTCACCATTGTGCCCCCTGCCACCTTGTCCTTACATGGCACCTGCTCACGTGTGTCCCTTGGCTTATGACATCCATTGTGACACACTAGGTTACTGAGAGCCATTTTTCTGTCAGGTACTGATTCAGCCCCACACACTCTTTTAGGGGCAGTGGGCTCTTTTCTTCCCCGTGTCCAGCTGTGAAGCTCGGTCATCACAGACTTGCTCATTCTTCCTGTTTTGCTGTCTTCTCTTTTCAATCCCATAGGTCCTGTCTTGCCCCCTTGTTAGAAGCTCTCCTGATCTCTGTCTTCCCATTTCTCAAAATATCATCTCGGCACATCTCGACACATAACACAAGCCTGGGCTGTCTAATTACTGGTTAACTCTGATTCCACTTTTCGTTCTGGTTGACCAAACCTTGGTTGTTGATATAACAACCTTAATTCATGTGTCTGGGTACCCAAACTTAGTATGTTGCTCTTTGTATGGTTCTTAAATTCCTTCAAAACTACGTGAGATGACCCCATTCTTCCTGATGGATTATGCCTGAAACCTTCTCCCCAGCAGCTTGCATAGACCTCAAAGGAGCAGAGCCTATGGTTCATTTGTCCTGATTTCCATGAGAAGCTTGGGATGGGCACTTCCCAAAGCCTCTTCTCCTCAGGGCAAGCATTTCTGTCAAGCAGATGTTCAGGAAAGTTGTCATCAACCAGGCTCAATGCTACAAACCTCTGGGTAACTTTAAAAAGAGCCCATCCCCAGAAATTTTGATGGGTGATGGTCTTCTCCTCTTGGAACCTTATCAGTTGGTCTCTGGCACCCACAGACTTGTGACCGAGGTGTTGCGGTGTGACACCCATGGAGTGGGATTGGGTGCCAGAGGTGAGCAGCAGTTAGGGCACAGTGTAAACTGTAGGTGAAGATAAGAGCTTGGTTCTGGGCAAGGTAGCACACACCTGTAATCCCAGTGTCCTGGAAGCTGAGACAGGAGGAATGAAAGCTTTAGACCAGCCCAGAGAATTTAGCAAAGCTCTATCTCAAAAGCAAAAGGGAGGGGATAAGGATGTAGCTCCGTGCAAAGTCCCCAGGTTCAATTCCCAGTGTCGCCAAAAACGAAAAGCAAATGGAAAGGATCCATGAGGCACGGGATGCAGAACTGGTTATTTAGGGTTCTGAGTCAAGTCTGCAGTGATGCAACAACACACACAAGGGACATTCACATAGGCTTGGTGAGAGTTAGGTCCCTGGGCATGGAGAAGGGCCAGGGAGGCTTTGGGTGTCTGGTGGCCTTGGCATCGAGGAGCTCTGACTGCAGAAAATGGTGACACAGACGTAGAAACCAGCAGGGACTCTGGTCCTGTGGCATGGAGGGCAGCCCTGGTCTAGGAGTCTTAGAGTGAATGTAATAAAGGGAGACTGAGCCCAGGACTTTGCACTGATGGACTCCAGCCCTGTTTAACTTTTACTTGGAGAAAGGATTTCACTATATTACTAAGCTACTCACTATATTACTATAGCTACTCACTATATTACTAAGCTTAGATTTAGGACCTGCCTGGCTGCCTCCCAGAGGGCTGGGATTTACAGGTATAATCCATGTATCTTAGTTACTTTTTACTCATCACTGAGTCAAAATACCTGATGCCCAAGGTTGGGAAAAGTGGTATTGAAGCTATGAATACACAGATTATGAGGAACTTAATTTTGATTCTTATATGGTTCCTACAACCGACCAAAAGTTTTTTTCTAATAGTTTTTGGAGGTTTGAGTCCATACTCAGTTGGCTCCAAGGCTACAGTTCATGGCGGCTGCAAACAGCAAGGTGGAAACTGCCAAGAGAGACACAACCTTCTTCCTGCCATTACATTGTATGCTGGCTCCACCCTTAGGTGGGTGTAGCACTCGCACCATCAATCCAAGCTCTAGACAATGAACCAATCACTCGAGGCCTGGGGGCCACTGACATAAACCATGACATTCCACCCCTGCCCCCAGGACTCATGTACATCCCTTATAAAAAAGACATTTAGTCCATGTCCAAGAGTTGCCAAAGTCCTAACAGTTTTTGCATTGTTGAAAAGTCCAAGTCCCAAGTCTCCTCCAAGATCTATGGCAAACTCTTAATTGTAATGCCCTGTACAAATGAAACAAGGTTAAACATTTCTGAAATGCAAAGGCACAAGATAAGCATTGACATTCCAAAAGTTACAAACGGGAATATAAAGCATTGGAAAGAAAACAAGTCCAACATCCTGCAGGAGGAACATTAAGTCTTAGAGTTCCATGCCCAGCATTTGAAACAATCTAGTTGCAAGCTCCAAAAGGCTTGGGTGATTCCATCCCCAGGGCACTTCCAGGGATTTCAGCTCCTGCAGCTCTTCTCTTAAACCCTCTCTGCTTGCTTTTTGCAGCTTTCCTTGGATGATCCATGTTCCTGGCTTTCCCAAACTTTGGGGTCTCCATTGCACCTTTGGCTTCACCTTTACATCTTTACAAATTGCCCTCTCAGGGACACACTACTTGGCCTCCCAGACCCTCTGCAATTGAGGTAGAAGCCGTCTTACCCTTAGAGTTTGTGCATTTTCTTTGCACCTAAAATCAGCACCGTGTGGATGCCACCAAGGTTTGCTGCCAGCTGGAGTAGTAGCCAGTCTTTTCTCTTTCTAGGCTGTAGGGATCTAGTGCCTGGGTCACTGGGCTGTGTTTACCTGATTGTGAAGAAAAGCTTTTCTGTGTTGCCGCCATTCTGGAACCTCACTTGGCCTCTGTTGCCCTTTTGGAGCATGGTGCTCTGAAGTTTTCTCCTCTAAGCAAATTCTTTCACTTTTGCAGCTTTGAGGCTGCAAAGGGTGGAGACCCAATGTTTCCTGGGATGCCCTGTGGCCCTCTTTTTATCTCTCTGTTTCTTCTCAGCAATCAAAGTCTCACCTTTGTCTTTATAATCCACAGCTTTACTGCAGTTTTCTTTCTGGCCAAACTCACAGGTTTGTTAATTATCCTGCTGGGCGCTTTGCTCTTGATTTGCAACATAAAGCTGGCTAAAAGCCCCCAACAATAGCCATGCCACAGCCTCAACATAAACCATGACACCATGCCAGCTGGTTTTTCTTTCTTGCCCACTTTTTCATGTGTGTTGCTTCTTGCCAGTCAGCCACGTCACCCTTGCTAGCAGCAGAGCTAGTTATGCTCATCATCCATATGTTATCTCTGCTTCCAGTATCTTGTTTTTCCTTTTCAAAAGCCAAGGGACTAGGCAGTCTTAATAGAATTATTATTTTTTATTCTGAGCAGTGATATTCAAAGCCACAAAGTGAGTGCTTTTTTGGAATTGTGTGTCATCAGTACTAAACATGAAAAAGTTTGTGTTCTTTCTAGAAGTTTGGCAAGTTGATATCCAAGTTTGGCAGGTTGATATCCAAGCAGGAACACCAAGACAGGCAGCTGGGGCAAGTTCCAGGCTCTGATGAAAAGCAGCTGGCCGATGTGGGACCCCAAGATGATGGTGAACTCAGAACAAAATTCCCACAGAACCCAAGCTCCAATCTATCTAGACAGCAGGTGCCCACAGGTGACTCCTGCAGGGAGAAGTCCCAACACCTTCCTGCCCAGGAGGTTTGAGTGTGACAGACACAGCCCTCCTGCCAAATGCGTGCAGTGCAGATGAGTTTTAAGCCAGCACACAGCCACAGAGCAGGGTGGCAGGAGGGCCCATACGTGTACCAAGTACAGAGAGGCCTTCTTTGGCCACACCAAGCTGGTTGTGCATCTCAGGTACACTTTAGGGACAAGGTGGGGGCCCCCACAGTTGCTGAGGACCAGAGCCGGGCCCCATGGGACCAAAACCCTGCAGGGGCCCAGAATGCAAGGAAAGCTGCGCGGACATGATGCAGATGATGCCGCAGGTGCGCACTCAGCCTTGTTCCAGAAGTCGAACCTCCTCCAGCACCCACACAGAAGCAGATGCACACCAGAGAAGCCCTGTGGCCCAGCTGAGTGCTGCAAGGCCTTCTCCCAGAACTGTCTGGGCCTCAGTCAGCACATGTGTTTGAGCACGAAGCTCTCCCAGTGCTTGGTCTCTTCTGAGAAGGCCAATCTCATCTGCACCCCTGGAGCCACACAGCAGGGATGACCACACTGGGGCAGGAGAGGGAGGCAAAACTCCCAACACAGCACCTGCAGGAAGATGGCACTGGTGAACAGTGATCTATTTTTACCTGATATTCGTGATGATGAAGGGTATCTGTGTGAACTGTGGACATTAAGATTTCAAGTGAGGGAATAAACTGTATCACCAAGACAGCAGGTACCATAAACATCACAACACTTCCGATGGTGCACAGGGTTATTTATGTTCCTGAGTTTGCTACCAAAATAGAGTATTTATTTTTGAGTTGCATTGGTGAGCTGAGCATAATTTTCAGTT